AGGAAAACATAACAAACCCAACTAATCTTATGCTGCACATCAAGCTCCTAGAAAAACAAACACAAGTCAGGGCCAAAGCCCAATGAAGGCAGAAAATTATAAATATTAGAGCAGACACTAATGCAATGGAGATGAAGAAAACAATACAAAGAAATCAAACAGTTGGTTCTTTGAAAGAGTAAATAAAATTGATATACCCCTAGCCAACCTTATCAAAAAAGGAAAAAACCCAAATCCATGCAATAAGAAATGAAAAGGGTGAAATTACTATATTGTCTATGTAATTAGGTGCTCCTACATTGGGTACATATATATTACATGTATATTTATGATTCTTATCTTTTACTTTTGCTTTTTTTTTGCTAACAAGTATGTAGTGACCTTCTTTATCTCTTTTAATCATTTTTGGTTTGAAATTGGTATTGTCAGCAACCAGAATACTGCCCCTATTTTTTTCTGGTTTTCTATCACATGGAATGTTATTTCTCATCCTTTGACTTTCAGTCTGTGAATTTTGAGTTAAATGTAGTTTGAGTTCTTGTGTACAGTATATTACTGGACTTTCTTTCTTTCTTTCTTTCTTTCTTTCTTTCTTTCTTTCTTTCTTTCTTTTTGTAGTACCAGGGATTGAACTCACAACCTTGTGCTTGCCAGGCAAGCACTTATTCTACTGAGCTATCTCCCTAGCCCCTGGATTTTGTTACTTAATCCATTCTACCAGTCTGTTTCTTTTGATTGGTGCATTGAGGCTGTTTATATTTATGGTTATAACTGATATGTAAGGGGGCCAGGGAGATGGCTTAGTGGAATAAGCACTTCTCTGGCAAGGCAAGGGCCTGAGTTCAATTCCTGAAAAAAAAAAAAAAAAAGAAGAAGAAAGAAAGAAGGAAAAACGCTGATCATTTGATATATATTGTCTTATCTTTTTAATGTTATTTTTCTGCTATATGTTCTGTACTTTTCTCAATGTATTGAGACATCATGAGATTAATACAAGTTACCTTTGACCCCTACAATTATAAGAGATTCTCAAAGTGGTAGCTATTAGCTTCATCACATTAATTAATTTGGCAAACTGCTGAAGTGTATCTGCATGCTTTGCTTTTTACAATTACATGCTGTGCTTTGTGGTTTCCTTTTGTTCTTGAAGTTGTGATTGTTTTTGTGTCTGTCTAGAATATCTGTCAGTACTCTTTGCATGATTTTTTGGTGGTCAAAAATTTGTTCAGTTGTTCTTTCAAATGGAAGAATCTTATCTTGTCATTGAATCAGACAGGTAGTTCTGCAGGGTACGTCATTCTGGGTGGAAGTTATTTTCTTTAAGGACCTGAAATATTTTACTCCAAGCTGTTCTTTATTTGATAGCTTGTGTTGAGAAATCTGTCCTGATTCTGATGGGCTTTCCATTATAGATAATCTCTTTCTTCTAACATCTTTTAATATTTTATATTTTTAGGTACAGCTCTAAGATTTATTTTTAAGTGAATATACTAAAATGGTAGCAGTGAGCCTCTCCTGGTGATAAAATTATGTGTGATTAATTTTCCCTTAATATAAGGTGCTTCTTAATTTTTTATAATGAATGTCCAGTATTTCTTTTTATAGAATCAATAAATCTTCTTTAAAAAATTCTTTTTCTTTTGAAATGGTTAAACAGTCTACCAAAAAAAGTATACATGAGGAAAAAACCTGTATAAATATTTTAATACTAAATTTGTTTTAAAATTATTTTCAATTAAGTTTGTTGGTATAATTTAGGGATGTATGATGGTCACAGTTGTCATAGGAAATTTGTAACTCCACATGATAAACTTTGATTTGTCTTTTTCCCCCCTCCTGTTTATTTCCCCTTCTCATTTACAAAGTTTTGTTTCTATTTTGTCCTTCTTTTCTCATTTTTCTTTCTCCATCTTTTCTCCCTCCATTCCAGTTTCTCCTATTATTTTGAACAATTTCTTACCATTCACCTTATCTCTTGTACAATGTTTTGAGACATCATGAGACTAATACAAGTTACCTTTGACCCATACAATTACAAGAGGTGCTCAAAGTGGTAACTATTAGCTTCCTGACATTTATTAATATGGCAAACTGCTGAAGTGTATATACATTTTTGTGATAGAAAATAGATGTATATATATTTCATTTCACTATGTAATTAAGCTGGTTTTGAACTCATTGTGTAGGCTAGGCTGACCTCAGACTCATGGTGTTCCTTCAGCCTCAGCCTCTGTAGTATTGGTGAGTACCACCATATCAGGTGGTTAAATATATTTTTATATGCCTACAGGGTGAAATTCAGTTTACAGATATTAAATTTTGTGTTAAAGAATATTTTCAGAATCTCATACTAATGAACATTAAATATAAATTTTTGAACCATAGGAAACTAGTATTCCAGGACCAGCCAGGTAGCTCAGCAGACTAAAGCGCCTGCTTTGGCAGAACGCAGCAGCCGGGGTTTGATACCCGGTGTGCTGTGCCAGCCCTATCCCCGGGATGTGCTGAGATGGCAATTGAAACTGGGCATGGTGGTGCGCACCTGTAATCCCAGTGCTTGGGAAGCTGAGATAGGAGGATCACTATGAGTCCAATCTATGTAGTGAGACCCTGTACATCCTGTAGGCCCTGTGTTAAATTCATAAAAAAAAAAGAAAACTGATATTCCAATAATAAGATATTTTATTAAATCTACTTTTTAATCTTTTTGTAGTGATAACATTCAATAATAATCTCTTAGCAGTTTTTAATATGATACATTGGCCTGTAAGTATAGCTTAGTGGTTGAGTGCTTGCTTAGCATATACAATGAAATATAGCCAGCACTGAAAAAAAAAATAGTTATTGTATTGTGTAGTCCAGCCAAGGTTGCCATGGGATTTGTGCTGGATATGAAGCTGATCATGGCCTCTGGGTGTGCGGGCGGGGACTAGTTTCTGTTGGTAGAGTTCTCCAGGGCCTAACTTCTGGCTCCTCACTGCTGCTTCAGACTCTTCCAAGTTGCTTCTGCTCACCAGGGGCTGCCAGATCTGGGTCTCTGCATATAGTTACCACGTTGTGCCACAGATCTCCAGCATTTATTAATCTCACCTAAAAATATGTCTTATGAACAATATCTCTTTATTCCTGTCAGTGTTAAAAACAAGATCTCTTTATTCCTGTCTCGTCTCTTTTTTTATTCATTTTAGTATTCTCTCCTTTTTTCTTAGTCCAGCTATGTTTCATTGGTCTTTTCTGTAGTTTTTCTAGCCTGTACTATATTTAATTTTTTTCCCTCTGATTGTTACAATTTTCTCTCTTTGACTAATTTTGTATTTTGGTGGATTTTTCTTTGCTTCCTTCAAGTGCGAAGTTAGGTTGCTTATTATTCATTTATTGCAATCAGTTCTTAAAAGTGCTTTTGCTACAACCTCTAAGTTTGTGTGTGTTGTACTGCCATTTGCATTTGGCTGCAGATACTTTGAATTTTTCTTTGAAATTTGCAAATTCATTTTTCACTGATTGTTCTCACTGCTAGAGCTGAAGGTAAAGGAAGAAGGAAGGGATATTGGCTATTGGGGATGTAGGTTCAGATATGCAGGATAAATAATTTTTTAGAAATATTTATTTACTTATTTATTTGGTACAGGGTCTTGCTATGCAGCTCAGAATCCCCAGCGTTGGGGTAACAGGCGCACACCACTCCCTGTTTCGAGGCCAGCAAGGCATGAGTACCATGGATTGAACCCGGATCCTTCTGCTTGCCAGGCAGGCGCTTAGACCACCGAACTACCTTCCCAGCCCAGATGAACAAATTGTGATCTTAAATGTTTTAATCACACATACAAAAAATTATAACTGAAAAGTAGTGGTTATATTAGCCTGCTGTGCCAGTTGTTTCATCATATATATAGAAAGCACATTGTATATGTAATTTTTATTTGTCAAGTGTACCTCAGGAAACTTGGGCAGAAATGAAAATTAAAAGCTCATATTTTAACAATAAAGTTAGTAATATGATAAAAGGAGATAGAAAAATGCCAGAAGACACTATTTATTCCTTACTCACTTTTGACAATTTTTTGCGTTTGTTGACTTATAATGTTTTATGGACATCATATATGAAATTTACAACATAATGTAATATCAGACTTGCAACTTGATTTGTGTTACTTCATCAAAATCAACAGGTTTTATTAAGTAAATTGTGTGTTACAATAAACATGACTCTGGACAATAGATCATTGTGAATAATGAAGTTTTCGCAGGAAACATTTAGCATTGCTGCACAGTTTCTAGCTGTCTAGTGAGATAGAGAACTCAATAATGTGCTCATGAGAATGTGTTCTGTACAAACTTAGACTTATAAGATGGCAGATAACATCTCAAGCTATCCAGTTCAAAACTGTGTTGTCTCCCCACCAGTTAGAAAAATCTTACTAGCAAATGTCAATATAATTTCCAGTAATGTACAGCTAAATCATCTAAAGCTCACAATAGGTTTTGGTGGAGGGTGAACATGAGCCTTCCCTAGTACTTCTTCATTGTCTTATGTTCATTGCTTTTTGTTGATATTAGAGAGCTTTTGTTCATCCTCTGCAGAAATCAAGTATAGTAAAAGACCAATAGGTAATAAATATGTATCACATGTGCGAAGTTATTTTTGGTATACTCTTGATTTGTTTCATTTACTAAAACTATGTTATATGTTGTTTATTTTTTCTAAATGAAAGTGTTATTTATTTATTTATTTGGAACCCAGGAATCAAATTCGGGACCTTGCACTTGCCAGGTAGGTTCTGTGTCACTGAGCTATATCCCAAGTTTATGTGTTGTTTACATCAGTGGTTATCTACCTGATCTCGTACAGTTTTCTTTGTAGGAAAAGCTTTGGGGCTACTTTTCTGTGACCAATTAGAAATTAATGACTAAGACAACAAGGATACTGATTTCTATACTTTTATTTATATACTTTTATTTCTATACTTTTAATGTACTCACATCAAACTCTTTTGTTTTAGTTGTCCAGACTACCCTCAAGTTTACATACAGTGAAAAATACCCCGATGAAGCTCCTCTTTATGAAATATTCTCTCAGGAAAATCTAGAAGATAATGATGTCACAGACATTTTAAAATTACTAGCATCACAGGTAAGGGAATTGCAATTTTGTTCTGTTATAGCCTCATTTTACTGGTGTTAAATTTATACTTCTAGGGATTAGAAATGCTATTAAGTATGTGTACATAGTACATTGGCAAGCAGAATTCATGACATGTAATCATAGTGCGTCTTATTTTCCATGGCCCTTTCACTGTTCAGTAGTGGAAGTTGTCTTAGTGCCCTTGTTTGAAACTCAGTATCTGCTCTCTAAGTGATTAAAAAAACCCAACAGTTACTCTAGGTTGTATGCACCATTCTGATTGATAGAATATATAGTCCCATGGTAAAGCTAAAACTTCTAACTAAAAAAATTAAAACTGCCACCCTCTTTCTCTTGTAGGCTAATTTCCTGCAAAGGACTATGACTATTTTATTTTCTCCAGCTCTTTCCTTAAAGTTACAAACACCATTCATGGATTATGACCCCTCTAAGAGGGGAAGATTGTGCAGAAGAGGAAATGGGTATTAAAAAGGTTTTCTGGCTTTTTCACCATGGGTTTGCCGTGAGAGCACAGGTGTAGTGAAAACCACCACTAAATCCAAGCCAACATGGGGAAGGAAAAGACTCACATTAATATCATTGTCATTGGACACGTGGACTCCAGCAAGTCCACCACTGGCCATCTGATCTACAAATGTGGTGACATTGACAAAAGAACCATTGAAAAATTTGAGGAGGCAGATGCTGAGATGGGGAAGGGTTCCTTCAAGTATGCCTGGGTGTTGGACAAGCTGAAAGCTGAGCACGAGCATGGTATCACCATTGACATCTCCCTGTGGAAATTTGAGACCAGCAAGTATTATGTGAGCATCATTGATGCCCCTGGATACAGAGACTTCATCAAAAACATGATTACAGGCGTATCTCAGGCTGCCTGTGCTGTCCTGATTGTTGCTGCTGGTGTTGGTAAATTCGAAGCTGATATCCCCAAGACCAGGCAGACCCATGAGTGTGCCTTTCTGGCTTATACACTGGATGTGAAACAACTAACTGTTGGAGTTAATAAAATGGATTCCATAGAACCACCCTACATGAGAAGAGATAGGAGGAAATTGTTAAGGAAGTCAGCACCTACACTAAGAAAATTGGCTGCAACCTTGACACCGTAGCTTTTGTGCCAATTTCTGGTTGGAATGATGACAACATGCTGGAACCAAGTACTAACATGCCTTGGTTCAAAGGATGGAAGGTCACTCATAAAGATGGCAATGCTCACGGAACCACACTGCTTGAAGCTTTGGATTGCATTCGTTCACCCACTCGCCTGACAAGCCTTTGCGGCTGCCCCTCAAGGATGTCTACAAATTGGTGGTATTGGCACTGTCCCTGTGGGCTGAGTGGAGACTGGTGTTCTCACACTTGGCATGGTGGTCACCTTTGCTCCAGTCAGTGTTAAAACTGAAGTGAAGTCTGTTGAAAGGAACCCATGAAGCTTTGAGTGAAGCTCTTTCTGGGAACAGTGTGGGCTTCGACGTCAAGAACATGTTTGTCAAAGGTGTCCAGTGTGGCAGTGTGACCGGTGACAGCAAAAATGACCCACCAATGGAAGCAGCTGGCTTCACTGCTTCTTATCCTGAACCAGCTGCTTCCATTGGTGGGTCATACTTGGTGATTATCATGAACCATCCTGGCCAGATCAGTGCTGGCTCTGCCCCTGTTCTGGATTGTCACACAGCTCACATTGCTTGCAAGTTTGCTGAGCTGAAAGAAAAGATTGATCGCCAGTCTGGTAGGAAGCTCGAAGATGGGCCCAAGTTTTTGAAATCTTGTCATGCTGCCATTGTTGACATGATTCCAGGCAAGCCCATGTGTGTCAAGAGCTTCCCTGACTCCTGACTACCCACTGCTGGGTCATTTTACTATTTGTGATATGAGATAGACAGTTGCTGTAGGTGTCATCAAAGCTATGGATAAGAAGGCTGCTGGAGCTTGCAAGGACACCAACTCTGCCCAGAAAGCTCAGAAGGCTAAATGAATATTATTGCTGATACCTGCCACCCAGTATTAATCAGTGGTGGAAGATCGGTCTCGGAACTGTTTCTCCCAGTTGGCCATTTAAGTTTAATAGTGAAAGACTGGTTAATGATAACAATGCATCATAAAACCTTTAGAAGGAAAGAATGTTTTGTGCACTTTTTTTTTTTTTTTGGTGTGGCAGTTAAGTTATTAATTTTTAATCAATGCTTTTTAATGGAAACAACTTGACTAAAAATCTGTCACAGAATTTTGAGACCCATTATGATTCCTCAAAGTTTAATGAGAAAAAAAAAATTAAAAAAAAAAGGTTTTCTGCACTAGGTCTGTTATCCCATGAGCTACCCACAGTGTGTGCCTCGTAGGTAGTTTGCTTGTGCGTGGCTAGTATTTAATTTGAAACTTAAGAGTAGAGAGTAGGGAGGTGTCTTAGTTTTTTATTGTTGGCACAAAATACCTAATACCCACAAGTTAGAAAAGGAGAGGTTTATTTTAAATTACTGTAGAGGTTTTGTTCCATAATTGTCTGGTTTCACAATTGGGCAGCAGGATACAGGAAGAACAGTTCATAGTGTGGTGAGCAGAAAACACTAAGATGTCCTTCATCCTGCTTTTCTATTACATCCAGGCTACAAGCCTATTGATTGCCATCCACAACCACTGTGGGTCTTCTCTCTCAGGTAGCTAGCTCATTGTCCCTACCCAGAACTATGCTAAACGAATCAGTGGACTAATCCAGTATCACACACCCAGAATCCAGTTCTTCCTAAAAGCTTTACCAATGAGTGCATGAGGCTTTGGGGGAACGTGTAGACTTAAGCCATAACAGAAGAAAACGGAAGCCCTTATTCCACTGTCTTAAAATCAGAAGTCCCATTAGTTTGTTTTTGAGAATATTCAGAAAAATGTCTATTTTGGATGTGATTTTTAGGATTGATAATTCTCTGAATGTTGATTTCCTAATAGAAATACTTGGACCTGTTAGAAAAAGGCTTGAAGGTCTGTCAGAAAAGTTTCTGCTGATCCTGGGCCCTGTTTACTCTGTTATCGAGCATGAAATTATATTTTGGCTTGACCTGTTTCATTTGAAAACATTGCAGATAACCTGAGATTGCTATACTGTTGTCAGTCATACACTTTTGTTGATTATTCAGAGTCAATTTTTTCATGTATACTTGTATTTCATTTGTATGTAATCTCTCTTGAAAGAGACATATTTTTTAATCTGGTAATACTACAGATTAAATCCAGGGTCTTTTCACTGAGCTATGCAACCAGCCAGTTTTTATTAATCTATTCTTTAATTTTGAGATAAGGTACCACTAATATTCCACGCTGGGTATGAATTTGTTTTTCTATCTCAGCATCCCACAGTGCTGCAGTTACAGTCATGTACCATCAAGCATGGCTTCAGAAATTTTTAACATCTTTAACAGTTACCTGGTATCAAGAAGTGTTGAGGGTATGTTTGTACTTACTCTCCAAAAACAGGATTGTGTTTCATTTATCAAAATGACTTTTTTTTATTTAGTACAGGGTCTGTAGGGTCTCACTATGCAGATCAGACTCCTAGTTATTCTCCTGTTTTAAGCCTCCCAAGATTACAGGCATGCACCACCAAACCTAGTCTCAATTGCCATCTCAGCATGCCCAGGGAGCAGGGCTGGCATGGCACACCAGGGATTGGACCCTGGCCCCTGCATCTGCCTAAGCAAGCACTTTAATCTGCTGAGCCATCTGGCCAGCCTAAAATAATTCATATTTTAAGAAGCTAAAAAAATAAGAAAGTTATGAAGAAGAAAATAGTGATTACTCTTAATTCCAACAGCCATATATAAGTATGTATTATTTGGTATGATAATGCCAGCTTTATCTCCCTGTGTTTATACACATAGTCCCTTCCCCCAGTTAGATATTTGTCTGATTTAAAAAAAAAAATACAAAATACTAGAAAAGGAAAAGTATAATACAAAAATTCCATTAAACAAAGTAATAGGAATTCAACAGTGGCTGCTGTATTGCATGGTGTTATTTTCAAATTAGTTGTTTAAGTTACCAGGTATAAGCTTGCAAAATTTGTTAAAAAGAAACAGAATAACACCAACAAAAATTATGAGAAATTAAAAAGCAAAAAAGAAAGTTAATGTGTAATATTTATAGCTCTTTTACATAACAGTGCACAAACATGAATTATTGGTTTTGACCACTACGTACATGGTTCTGTCTTTCAAAGAATAATTTGTAATTTTCATTTTTGTTTCACTTAATATATAATTCTTTGGATATTCTTGTTTATATATCATGATTTTTAAGTCTGTAGAGCAAGTACTCCTTTGTATCTCTAGTGCCTGGCACATGAGAGATATTCAAATATTATTGAATAAGGGAAAGGAATGAATCACTGATTAGTATACTAATCTGGCATTTTCCAGAAGTAGGATTGCTGAATGGAAGTGCATGGCTACCTTACAATTTCAAATATCTTCCCAAATGATCTTCAAAATAATGATGACCATTTATTATCTCACCATAGTCACTCAGCTCTAACTTTAATACATTAGCTAACATTATTTTCATTTAGAAATGAAACGATGACAAGATGAAAACAGAATACAGTTACAATTTGCATTTCTTTAAATACTAATGATGCAGAATTACCATGCTTCTGAATTGTCCATTGTCCATGCAGTAATATTTACTTTTTAGTTGTAGTAGGTAGCTTCTATAACACGTCTTCGTGGAATTTGTTAATGAAGTGTGTCAAGCATTAGGCTGAATGAAACCATCCCTGTTCTCATAGGTTTTTTAAATTTATTTTTTTTTTTTTATTTTTTGTGTGTGTGTGTGTGTGTGTGTGTGTGTCCAGCTCAGCCCACCAGGGGGCGGGGCTGGCTGGCATGTGGTGCTGGGGGATTGAACCGCGGTCTCTGTGCTTTGCTTAGTTTAGCTTGTTCTAAGTAGGTGCTTTAGACCACTGAGCCATCTCACCAGCCCCTCTCATAGGTTTTAACACTCCATTGTGAAACATTCACTGTCGAACTGGAAATCATTCTTCTGTATTAAAAACGTTCTGCTGGTAAAGTACAGGATTATGTAGATACACATGGACATGAAGCACTAGAGGAGCTTCTAAGAGGAAGCTGAGGTTTCAGGGAAGTTTGCAAGGCAATAGGGAATAGAGGAAAGTAGAGGAGTGACTTTCTTAAAGAAAAGGATGGAGAGAGATTTTTGTTCTCCATAATGCCCCTTACACAAAATTAGTTTAGTTAAAATTTGAAAGTGGTAAATGATGGAATTGGCTGGGTGTAGGGGCACAATGTCTATTAGTCTGGTATTCTAGAGGCTCAGGCAGGATGATTCCCATGAATTTGAGGCCAGTTTGAACTACATAGCAAGACTTTGTCTCAAACAAACAAAATCTTAGCAACGTGGCAGGTGAAACCTGCTCATGTCATGGTGGCCAGGAAGCAGAGAAGAGGAACTGGGGGAGATATTCCTCAGAGGTACATCCCTAGTGGCCTGCCTACCTCCTCTCTTTAGGACCTACCCTCTCACAATAAGTCACAGTGTATGAGGCCTTGAGGGATATCTAGGTATAAGATATAACAGTGACATCGAAGTACCATGCAATGGTTGATTGTCAAGGGTTTGGCATTTGAGAATTTTGTTCAGTAAGGAACTGGGGACAATTGGCAGCATCTGTGTTACATAGAAAAGGAATCTAAAGTACAATGGCTACTCAGATAGTTATTGCTGAAGCCAGCCTTGCTAGAGAAATGCTCAGTGATCCTGCCTCTGGGGCTGAGAATGTGGCTAGTGTGTTTTGACAAAAATGTTTTTGTTTATTTCATTCTGACTTCAACACCAACTTCTAATAGTCTTCAGATCTAAGCAAGGAAAATAGTGAAGATAAGTAACCAAAATATACACATTTTTCATTATTGTAATGAATGAGAAAATCATTTAGGCCTCCAAATTCAGTTCACTATTACAATTTTTAATTCTGAAAAAGAACTGCCGTACTGAAGATGAGCTACAGAAATGATGTTACTTGTTACTGTAGGAAGTGGTCCTCTTAAATCTGTCTATATAATTAATAAACAGTGCACTAAGTAAGACATTTTTGCTTTATATTAGGTATTTCAAATTCAGTGACTTGCGAAATGTCACATTTATGTGCCCACTTAAATGATCAAATGATCATCAGTGTATGGTTGCTATAGAAACACATTTTTTTTCATTGATTAGTTTTTATTTTTCTGAGAGCTATTTTTTTTCTCCACCTGTCTTGTATAGGCTGAGGAAAATCTTGGTATGGTCATGATCTTTACTCTAGTGACAGCAGTGCAAGAAAAATTAAATGAAATAGTAGATCAGATAAAAACAAGAAGAGAGGAAGAAAAGAAACTAAAAGAAAAAGAAGCAGAAGAAGCAGAAAAGGTACATTTAAAATCCTTGTTTTCTTTCACTATTCTTCAGATTTGTTTGTTGGTTAATCAAGTTATCAGGCAATTTCAATAAATGTTTGAAATCATAGTAGGTAAAAGAACTTTTCATACAGGTTTACAATATAAGACTTTAAAAGACTTTCATGTGATAGCATAGCAAAAGTACTGAGTGATAATCAAATAATAAGGTTCTTGTAAGAGTGAGAAATATAAATTTCATAGACTATGGTGCCAGGTTTAAATTTATAAAGCTCTTGTACAGTCATCTGAATAGTAAATGTAATAACCCCAAATTCTAAAATGAATTGAAAAGTGATTTGTTATAAATGGATGTGTTGAAAATGTATTAATAATGTCAATGACTTTCTTTTTAATAATAAATAGCCATGGTGAGCATAGTAAATTGCATGCTTATTTCTTTCTTGTAGTAAGAGTAATCACGGACTTTGGTAGAGTCCTTTCTGAAACCAAAGCAGTGAGAAGAGACAGTGCAGGCAGAAATCAGATGAAGTATTTCAGTTTTTAATCACTTAGTGATTTTTCTGTGCTAATATAAAAGTGGTTCTGTTTGTCTCAAAGATATACTTGTATTTTATTCATTGAATTGTTATCTTATTAATCTAATAACGTCTTTTTTTTTTTAATTTGGTAAGCAATTATTTCACGGCACCCCTGTTACAATTGAGAATTTCTTATGTTGGAAAGCTAAGTTTGATGCAGAACTCTTGGAAATTAAAAAGAAACGGATGAAAGAAGAAGAACAAGCAGGAAAAAATAAACTGAGTGGTAGGATATCCCCTCACATGTACTTCTTTTTTTTTTTTTTTTTAATTTATTTATTTGTGTGTGTGTGTGTGTGTGTGTGGCCAGCTCAGCCCACCAGGGGGCGGTGCTGGCTGGCATGTGGTGCTGGGGGATTGAGCTGCAGTCCCCATGCTTTGCTAAGCTTGTTCTAAGTAGGTGCTTTAGACCACTGAGCCATCTCACCAGCCCCTCACATGTACTTCTTACCATTCCCCCCAAGCCCTGTCTTAGATAACAAGGAGACTGCTTAGACAGCTTTCTATGAGAAAGTAATTAATATACTTAGGTCTCAGCGACAAAAATAGAAAGTATTTACACACACAATTTATAATTATTGTGTAGCTTATCTATGTTAAATATGTTGCAGTCAGTAGATCCTAAGGATTTAGGATCACAATCCTTAGGAATGGTGAGTCAAACCCTTTGATTTTTCAGGGACTGTATGGTAGAGGAGGTTTTTTGACTACTGCAATTTAATGTTGTCTCGGTTACTTTTCTCTCATTGCTGAGACAGAATAACTGATACCCACAATTAAGGAAGGAAAGATTTATTTAACTCACAGTTTGTGGAGGTTTCAGTCCATAATCAGCTGGCTCCAAGTTTGAGGGCAACAAACAGTTCATGGGTGTCATTGGGGTAGGAGGGCAGAAGCAAGAGCAAAGGAGGAAGAATAGGGAACGGGTCTCTTTTCTTCCTTATGTAGTGTGCAGGCTGCCTACCCCAAGGCAGGTATAGCACTCACACCCATAATTGGATCACGAATTAATCACAAACTCTAGAAGCCCGCCTCATGACTGTGTGGGGCTTTGGGGGGTCATCTGTCTAGACATAAACTATAACAAATGTGAAGACATTTCATATACTTCTTAGCAATGGATGAAGTTTTTAAATTTATTGAAATTCACATGAAAATAGATTGCCAGACTTGTTTCCTTGAGTTACTACATTTTAAAAATAATTGTAGAGAAGATCAAGGAATACTGTGCCAGTTAAACATACTTCTTTCTTTTTAGGCAAACAACTATTTGAAACAGATCATAATCTTGACACATCTGATATCCAGTTCTTGGAGGATGGTAAGATAAGATTAGCATTGCTTGTATATAGTGTGCTGTCTTTTTTTGTGTGTGTGTGTGTGCAGAACCGGGAATTGAATTCAGGCCCTTGTGCTTGCCAGGGAAGCTCTTATTTCACTGAGGCAATCCCCGGCCCTGCTGTCTTTAATTTTAGAGGCTAGTGCAGACAAAATTATTCTTGCTACTTTAAATTTGCTTAAATTAGCAAAAACTTTTCAAACATGTTGTTATAGAAGTAAAATATTCTATTCAAATGTATCATTTCAAATATATAGTTGACACACTATTAGAATTTATACTTGAAGTTGTATTTTTTAAACAGCGTTGGAAGGAAAAATTTACATTAAATAAAATTATTGCTCTGATTTCATCCCAAGTAGTCTTACCCTGAGCTGTACTCTGAACAGGATAGATCAGTACTGTCCTCTTCACGAAGCCCACATGTGTTTTAGAAGGGGCTTAATACACTGATGAGTTAGAGCATTTTATTCACCATCTTTTACATCTGCTTTGCCTATTGGAGTTTCTCCAGCCTCTATTCTTTCAGTTTTCTTCTAGATTATCTGCTTAGAGAAGGTTAAGAAGAAATATGTTGATGTAACCCACCACTGAGTCATTCTTGAAAGTAAGCTGGGCCCCTTCCTGACACTCTACTTTACTTTACTTTTCTTTTCTTCTCCTTTTCTTTCCTTGCCTCTTTCTTTCTTTCTTTCTTTCTTTCTTTCTTTCTTTCTTTCTTTCTTATGTATTTGATACAGGGTCACAGCTTGGACTTGTAGTGATTTCTTGTTTTCACCCTCCCTAGTGCTGAGATTACAGGCGTGCACCACACACCTGGATTTGTGGCCAGCTCAATGTGCCTGGGGGTGGGACTGGTGCGGCATGTGGTGCTAGGGATTGAACCCTGGTCCCTGCACTGCCTAAGCAGGCACTTAGTCTGCTGAGCTATCTTGCTGGCCCTCAACATTTTTTTCTTTCCTCTTTTTTCCTTTTCTTTTTTGGTGTATTGGGTACCAAACCTAGGGCCTCATGTGTGTTAGACCAGTGCTGTACCACTGAGGTACACTCTTTGTCTTATTATATTTATATTCTCTGTAGCACCTATAGTAAGATTTTTATACAACAACAGAAAAGTCAAAACCCAGCAAGATGTCCTATTCTATTCTGCTAAGAACTTCTAAAATTAAAAAGCTTCATTTCATTTTTCCTTGAAATGTCTTCTCAGCCATTTCTTCTTTATCTCTGTTTTTATTTACATTGGGACTTTAGCGATACTCTCTTAAATTATTTCCCTACACTCTTTCTGCTTTTAATGCCCTTATCTACAGTATTTTATAGTGGTTGCTTGTGATGTGATATTTCTAAAATCCATATTTTATCTATAGTAATACTTTAATTTTCATGCTTAGGAAAAAAGGTTGATCTACATTCTGGTCATTATCTATTCAACTATCCTTAGGTAATTTTCTTCAAATCTTGTCTTCCAGTTATTATTACAGTCTTACCCTTTTTCTCTATCATTATGTATACTTTGAATCTAGACACTTTTTTTCTTAGTGCTTTCAAATTCATGACCAAGGCATTTTAGACTTCATCTGCTTTGTGGATCTTTCACTACCAATCCAAGATTCAGTTATTCTTAGGCCTGTGCTTAGCATATTATATTTTTATTACCGAGCTGCTTTTGGGCACCAAGAAAAACTCATTTTCTTAATATAGTCACTTAACTGAATTTTAATAAAATCCAGAAAAAAAGTAGTTTTTATTGATCAAGTGTGTTATAATATCCTACTTTGATCCATTTTAGATAAATTAAAGCATAAAGGACTTGAATGTAGAGCTTAGCTATTGCTTATAGGGATTAGGTATTTGGCATCTTGGAAAGTCATATTGTTGGTTACAAAGAGAACTGGGTAAGGAGAAGGTCAAGTTAAACATCTCAGCTGAATAACATGCATAATTGAGTTTTAATGGTGAGCATACCTGCAACTGTTGGAAGAGATAACTGCTGGCTCAAGACCTAGTGATATGAGTTCTATAACCAAAGCAATGTGTAATCACCATTGTCTTCAGCATATAGTATGCCACATTATAAGTAATAGTTCTGCAAACTTTTTTTAAATAATCAGAATATTAGCCTGAAATGGGAGAATGAAGTTGCTCTTAACATCTCAGAATCTCTTCTGACCAAGTAGATACAATTTCTATAAGTGATTTGGGATTTCATCCTTTGCACTTCACATACGTATTTAGAAGTTTTTGCTTGGTATTGCCAATGAGTTGTGTCTTTCATCCCGTGATGTAAAAATGAAGGGGAAATATGTTTTTTCTTGCACAGCTGGGAACAACGTGGAAGTAGATGAGTCTTTGTTCCAGGAAATGGATGATTTAGAGTTGGAAGATGTTGAAGATGATCCGGACTCCAATCCTGCAGATGCAGGGAGTGACTCCACATAGTGATGGATGTCTCCATCTACAGAGAAGCTTGACAGCCACAGCATCTGTGGCTGTGCTGAAAAGGTTTCATTTTCCTTTCTTTTTTTGTAAGAAAAAATAATTTTCAGGAGAATAGTCTTCTGATAACTTCATCATTGAACTTAATAAACTGACCATAACACTTCATATGTAAAAAGTTTACTTCCTCTTATTGGAGAACAGAAGATTACATATTTAACATTATTTAATGTTGGAGGGAGGTTCTACCTATAGCACCAAGACTTGAAGGTAGGCTGCTGCCATGGTCATAAAGGGGTTTATGCTCAAGGAACTGGCCTTGTAATGGTTACTTTTGGATTCCAAATATTATCTTCATATAAAGTATTACAGTACTGAGATATATAAATAGAAAACTAAATCTGGATTGTAGCCTCTTAACACAGTAAATTAAAGTTTTAATGAACCAGAAGCCCAAATTATAAGCAGATATAAAATGGACTTTATCACTATAATAGTACCTGAATGTAAATTTTGGTGTTTTTATAGAAGTTGTATACTCTTAAGTGCTTCTCAGGTTAGACTTACGAGCCCTTGTCTGAATTTTAAAAGTAAAATGTGATACCAGTCTACAAGTGATTTTTTTATTCTGCTATTTTTTCATTTTTCAAAATTATTACATCTTTGTTATATATAATCATCCCATTCATCATAGGGAACTTGTACATGACACATTTTAAGTGTTTTTTCTTTTCTTCAATTTACTCTCTTCTCTTCAAGCCTTCTTCCACTCCCCATTTATAAAAGATTGTTTTCATTTTTTTCCTTCGATTTTCTTTTTTGTCCATTTTCTTCGTTCTCTCCCTCTATTCCTTTTCCCATTTGAACAAGTTGTCCATTAAGTTATTTACCCTTTGGGTTTCTTAAAAAAGAGGAACAATGAAGTGTCTGATTCTTATCACTTAAGATTATGGTCTTGAGGTGCATCCATTTACCTAAAAACAACTCAAATTTATTCCTCTTTATTAAGGATCAGTATCACATTTTCTTTATCCATTCATCTTTTGATGAGCTTCTGGGTTTTTTCCAATATTTAACTGTTATAAATTCTTCTGGTATAAACATGGGTATGCATCTATCACTGTAGTATGTTGCCTAACCCTTTAGGAAAGATACTTAGAAAGGGATCAGCTGGGTAAAAATGGAGCCTCTAATTTTAGTTTTTGAAGAATCTCCATACTGCTCTCCATAATGGTTATATTAGTTTACATTACTACCAGCTATGGAAAAAGGTTCCTTTTTCCCTTATATCTTCACCAGCATTTATTACTCAGCCCTTCCTTCTGGATTGAGATGGAATCTCAGCGTTGTTTTATCTTGCAATTCTTGAATGACCAGTAACGTTGAACATTCTTTTCATATATTTATTTGATGTTTGTACTTCTTCTGAGAAATGCTGATTCATTTCAGATGCCTCTTTTTTGATTGGGTCTTTAAAGTTGGGGAATCAGTTTGAGTTCTGTCTATATTCTAGACACTAGTCCTTTTTCTGAAGAATAGCTGGTAAAATTTTTTCCCATTTTGTGCCTCTTTTCTTTTTTGCTGGTTTCTTTTGCTATAAAATGAGCTGGAGAAATGATGCTACTTTTTACCATGGAAAATCGTTCTCTTAATTTTATCTATATGATTAATAAACAGAATGCACTGAGAAATACCTGCTTTATATTAGATATTTCAAATTAAATGACAAAATAACTCATTTCTTAAATGATCAAATGAATGTTGTATGGTGATTATAGAAACATTTTTCATTGGTTAAATTTTCTTTTTCTGTGAAGTAAGTTTTTCTCTGCATGTGTATGACAGAAGTCAGATTAATCCTACTCCAGGCATATGATAGGGTAGGTTTGGGAAACTTCAGAGGACAAAACTAGGGGATGAGGAAGCTTTTGAGGCAGATAAATTTTGTTTTCTTTACTGTGTTCATAACTTTATGGGAATACGCATGTCAAAACTTAGCAACTGTATAGTACTACTACATGAAAGTCATTTTATATCTATTTTAATACAGTTGTTGAAAATAAGGCACAGTAGAGTGTTCCAGGCAAAGTCTACAAACAAGAATAGGCTGTCCAGAGCAGCATGGGGTATATTTATTAAATTCTCATGCAAGTTGTTTCCACAACCACTTCACATCCTCTTCCCTAGGACAGAGTACACTTGAATAGTCTGGCTCGGCATTTTATCACTTTTCTTAGTTATATTGTCATTTCTGGGACAAAATATTTAACAAAATATTTAATATTTTATTTGTTAAAGGACAAAGGTTTATTTAAACTCACAGAATGTAGAAGTTCTGGTCTACAGTTGGCTATAACCAAGGCAGAGTGGCATGATAGAAGAGAAACAGCTCATGGCAGGATAGGTAGGAAGCAAGAGGGAACAAGTTTATATACCATTCTAGGTCACACTCAGTGCCTCACTTCTTCCTACCAGGTTTCCCCTGTCATGATCACCCAGCTATAACCCCATCAGTTGACTGATCAATTACCACACACTCATGATCAGGTTCTTTCCCAAAAGCCCAGCTCTGAGCATGTGAGGCTTTAAGGGGACATCCACATTTAAACCATAACACCACTTATAAATGTCAGTTCTTCCTTAGTAGTTAAGTTAAAAAGCAAATAAGACACCTGTATATATGTCTCATTGGGTGTTTAAACAACTGGTCCATTATTTCAGCATTATAAGACAGGGGGGGAAAAAAAAGGACACTCTTCCTGCAGATAAAACAAAACAAAAATAAACAGTGTAGAAATTAATATACACAGTCATCCAGAAAAGTATTATTTAGAACATACAACATAGTAGAGGATCTGTATTGGAAGGGTAGAAACAGGTCTCATGAGACCATTAGTGTCAATAAGAGAAAAACTCTTGTGACTCCAAAGGAAATCTCCACATATGGCTCATAAGTGTGTAAAACAGTCTCCCGATGCTGATGCACACAGGCATATATCACTGAGGCATCCTGTATCCCTACCAGAGTGACAAGTTCTCAGTGTGGTGCCAACCAGCACTGGTGAGAGTACAGAGGCAGAGCAGAGCCCAGCAGCAGCTCCCAGCAGAACTGTACATGTGTGTCCCTTTAACCTGTGTAGAGAGTTTCACAATTTTTAAAGATTTTTTTCAAACTGTTTTCACAGCACTACTTGAGGTAAGAAAAACTGCTACCATGACTAACATCCACAGAGGGTGTAGTGGATGGTGTGGGTCACTTGAACCAGGGAAGACTGTGGAGATAATGAGGAAGGGCTCTCTGGGCCCCCAGGGGAAGGGGCCAACAAATTTGATCATGGAAAGATTTGCAGATGTGTGAAGGATGCCTGTGTGGATGATCTCAGTTTCTAAAATGAAACATCCATGATCTTAGTCTGCATACTCACATTGACGTGCAAGAATCTTTGTGCGGTAATGTGAGACAAACAGAACTAAAAGCGCAAAGAAAGGCAGAGGATAGGAGATGAGCTCAACAATTAATGAAGAAGAGCTGTAGAGGTAAAAGTGAAGAAACTTTTATGCCCATTCAGAGATGTATGAAGATGTTTATAATGCATTTTTATTTTATAGGTAGAGCAGCACTAAATTATCCCTGTTCATATACCTATTCAATAAAATGCCCACTTTTTATTCTTAAATGAAATGATTATAAGAAAAAAAAACTATTTGCTACAATATATAGAAATATTTGCCACATAAATAGAGTGGTATGTTGATTGAAGAACTTAATTCTTTTCAGGATTCTAGTCTAAGCTAAATTGTGAACTGAATGGAATTTCCCTGTAAGGTCAACATTGCACCTAACCATTGAGTTTCATTCCATTTGTGTCCAGTTCAGTTTCTGACCAGAATCATGGAAAGACATGTTTATGAAGTAAGGCACTAACTTATAAAGGGCAATATGAATAAAGAACAGAAAAACAGATAGTCATCCTTCCCAGAGAAAGTAGCCTCTCTGAGATGCTCTTCTTTCCTGCCTTCTCTTTGTATGCGGACCTGGGTTTCTCATCTGCTGGATGGGTACTTTGCCAGGCCAACGCTTTTCTGATATTCCTTGTAGGACTTGGGGACTTGCCCTAGTTAACCGCAAAGATTTTCAGCAGCTGTGAATTTATAATTGACATTGGTTTCTAGTTGTTCACACCCATATGGGGCTAAAGGGAATGTATGTCTTAAAATCTCATTGTTTTAGATGAATTCTTGGACGTGAAATTTCCATGTTGAAGATGTTGGCTGTTATGTTCATATCTGAGGGTTCCACATAACAGTTGTAGTCTCAGAAGGGGCAAGGTGGGGCTGCATGGATCCTCTGGATCTTTTGTGAAGACCTGAGGTGAGAAGGTAAAACAGCCAGTGACAGAGGGCACCATGGTATTTGGGAGGAAACCAGGAGACAGAGAAGGCCCTGGCCCAATCCTCCTGCTCCACAGCTCAACTTCTCAGTGAAGCAACTTGCCCTGCATGCTGACTGAAGAGGAAGCTGGCCTGGCCAGCCTGCCAGAAGTTTTCCTTCCATGCCTGAGTCCCTTCTCCCTCTCTGGGAACCTCTCTCTGGAAAGGTCAGCCTGTTACAGAGCTACTATGATTCAGTGATGTCCATCGAGGTACAGTTCTCAGCTGTTGAAGAAACACTCACTTCAGCTATGTGAGCAGGATAGGACTTTACAGAGCAGCTCAGGGGCTCATTGATACTGTTGGAGGCTTCAAATGAGATGCCAGGCCTAAACCAGTCACAGTTTTCCTCCAGAACTGTCTACCACCCTGATGTGTGCTTTCAAGAGTGGCTACCTGAAATCAGGTCCTCACAAAGGGTATATATGGTAGAATGACACTGTAGAAATCCTCAGACTAGATGAATTTCAAGACACAGAAGTAGATGGTTATGTCCTAAGGTAGGTATTTCAAGTTGATAGGAAACGAGAAGTGACTCCTACTAAAGAGGGATGCTCTAGTGTTACTGACCCACAGTGAATAAGGAGAAAACAGATAAACAGACCAATACTGAATACCAATACTGATAATTTATAAATAATCAAAATTATACAACAAGAAAGAACAATAAGTCCAGGATAAGGTAAGATAATACCTGGTAAATTTTATCAGGTATTCAGCACAGAATAAATACCAATTATTTTAGGAGTCTTCCAAAAAATGGAAGAGCAAGAATACTTCCAAACACATTTTACTTTATTTTTTTATTTTTTAAAAAATACAAAATAGAGGGGTTGGTGAGATGGCTCAGTGGTCTAAAGCACCTACATAGAACAAGCTTAGCAAAGCACAGGGACCACGGTTCAATCCCCCAGTACCACATGCCAGCCAGCCCCACCTCCTGGTGGGCTGAGCTGGCCACACACACACACACACACACACACACATAAATAAATAAATAAAATTTAAAAAAAATACAAAATAGAAACAACAACAAATTTGAAACAATACAA